TGGTCGACTCCGTGGGAGTCCAGCGACATAGCCATTACGCTAACTGCTGGTCCCCTGTAATATCTATTTTGAACCTACTCCAAGAGCAGCTCTGAACTCATCCTGGCCCAGGGGCGTTGTGTCTCCTGTATCCACTAGAGGGCGCTGCGACCTCATCACCGGCCCCGGCTCTCAGCTGCTCTCTCCATGCCAGCAGGTGTGCTTGTTCTCACACGGGGTGGAAAACAGCACCCGCCCCCAGTTTATCATTTTTTGGGTGGAGCCCAGAGGTAGAGGGAGAAGCCTTTGCAGCCTCTAAGAATGGAGATATTTGCATGGAGACCTCACTCCCTCATCAGGGTGACAGATAAGGAGGGTTGGTGGCCTCATTACTGACTGTAACAAAGTGGAGCCTGGGACACCCCCATCATGGCCTGGCCTCTGCTCCTCCTCACTGTCCTCATCCACTGCACAGGTGGCTCGCTGCAGGGGATTCTGGGAGGATACCTAGATGACACTGGGATAATGAGCCCTCTTGTTGCCCTGGGAAGCAGGTCTGCTCAGTCCTCACTGGTCTCTGTCTCTGTCTTTCCTTGCAGGATCTTGGGCTGACGTCACGTTCACTCAGCCCTCCTCTGTGTCAGGGTCTCCTGGGCAGAAGGTCACCATCTCCTGCACCCGCAGCAGTGGCAACATTGGGGACAAATATGTGTACTGGTACCAGCAGCACCCGGGCAGTGCCCCCACACTGTTGATCTACAGGGATAACCAAAGACCGTCGGGGGTTCCTAATCGGTTCTCTGGCTCCATAGATGGCTCCTCCAACTCTGCCTACCTGACCATCTCTGACGTGCAGCCTGAAGACGAGGCCGACTACTACTGTCTGTCTAGTTACGATAACTACCACACACAGTGCTCCAGACCCACGGGGAAGTGAGACAAAACCTCCCCAGACTGTCCTACCCTGGGCCCGGCCTCATCTAGACCCCACCGGGAAGGATTGCCCTGTCTTGGCTGTTGCTGGAATGCGAGCATTGGACATTTTTTGGCTCAACAGTTCTTTCATTTTTCTCCCCAAACATGATTTCATGTTTCCATGTCCTCATGGAAAATTTCCTGATCTCTTGTCAGTCACTTCATGAAGAAGATTTGGTTGGAATCAGAGTTTTTGAACCTAGGCGCTACTACTTATGACCATGTCAATATCCAGGGAGTGTCATTCTGTGCACTGCAGATTGTTGAGAAGGATCCTTGGGCCCCACACATCTGATGTTCATAGCACCCCATTCCTCACCCGACCCCTCTCCAGTAAACTCTCCAGACCTTGTGAACTATTCCTTGAGGACCATGTCACCAAGTGCGAACAGTACTGTGTTAAAAGAGCATAGTCTTAGTTATGAGAAAGCCTTGGGACTGGATCCTCTTTACGCCTTTTAATGGAACGTAAATCTACACGGATGATTTCTCTTTGCCTCTGCTCTCTCATCTGCTACCTGAAATAGTCACACGGAACTCAAATGCTTGATTACATGGTGGATAATATTCCCAGTCCCAGTCCCATTCAGTCAGAGAACCTGTTACCCAGTCATGTGAAATATCCCTCCATCCAGTGTGTAGAGTAGTTTTGGGCTACATTAAGAATATAATTAAGTTTTTTGGGACCAGCAGTTAGCGTAATAATGGCTATGTCACTGGACTCCCACATAGTCGACCTCGGTTCGAGTCCCGGACCCGGTGGCTTAAAACTCATGCCGGGCGCGTGTGCGTGCGTGCCCAAGATCCCAAGAGGAGAATGGAGAAGAAAGGATTGCGGTGTGGCCATCCCCCCCTGGGGGGTGATTTCTTGCTTTCTGTCTCTTTGTCTCTCTCTGTCTGTCTGGCAAGCGCACACGCGCTATAGCAGAAACCTCTTCAAAAAAAAAGGAATATAATTAAGTTTTTTAATTGCTAAAGGCTAAGGAGGAGAGAGAGAGAGAGAAACTCCCAATTGAATATAGTCCCTCTGTAATCATTTTCTCCTCACGTTCCTGACAGGAGTTTGGGCAAGCATACTTATCATCTGGCAAAGTTTTTACTTCTATCACAGTTGGCCATATAGTATCCAGTTTCTTTTCTTTTTCTCTTTTTTTGAGAGAGACTTTTTTCTATAGAGTGTGTGTGCTCACTGGAGAGACAGAGACAGAGAGACAGAAAGTGAGAAATCACCCCCTTGAGGGGGTAGTCAGGCCACAATCCTTTCTCCCCCAATGTCCTCTCAGACTCTGGGCATGCACAAACATGTCTCGGCGTGATTTTAAGCCAATGGGTCCATGACTCGAACCACCGTTGAGCACGTGGGAGTCCAGCGATGTAACCATTATGCCATCTGCTGGTCCCTAGGATGCAGTTTCTTATTCAGAGTGATTAACCGCTGAGCTACAGGGTAAGCCCTGTAATGAAAAGTTTGATCTTTATATGTGCTTATGAAAATATAATACGTTCCTCTTCATTTATTGCTCAGGGAGAGTTTTGCAATTGTGGGATATAATGATGAAGAAAAATATAACAAGGTCCTTTACTCTTGGAGTTTACAGTTTTTAAAAAGAATTCCTTATTTGTTATTGTTATTCTTTAGCTGACCAGAGAAAGACACAGGAGAGAGAGAGAGAGTCTGAAAGCAAGCCACCAGGTCTGAGACTTGAACCATGGTTGACCATGAGGGAGTCCAGTGCCCAAACCACCATGCAACTTCCTGGTCCTATGGAATTTAGATTTTAAGATGGGCGAGCTTATGCACCCTATAGCAAAAATCTCTCCAAAAAATAAAACTGTGGTTATGGGTCCAGCTAAGACATGGTGGCTAAGATGGCTGGATTCCACATGACTTATTGTGAGATTGGGGTCTTGGACCCATTGGCTTGAAAAACATGCTGGGCACATGTGCAGGTGAGCCCAAAATCCAGAGGGACTAAGGAATGGCCAGCCCCTACGCCAGGAATGCTTTCTCACTTTCCCTCTCTCTTTCTTTCTCTGTGTCTGTCTCTGGTGAGCAGATGTGCCCTACAGCAGAACTAAAATGGATATTAATCAGTCAAAATAACCAAGAAAGAAAGAAAGAATAGGGAAGAAAAGACAAAAGGGAAAAGATCTAAGGGGAAAACGAGTTATTTATTTGAAAACACATACACTGCATGCATCATGTCATATAATGGGGTACGTGGAAGGAGATTGGAGGCATGGTATTTAAACTACAAGGCATGCACATGCAAACTTAAAAATAATATAGAACAAAACAGTGTCCTTTCAGACATGGATGAGAATGCTAATAAAATGCGTGTGTTTAAACATAGCCTCTTCTTTATTGTTGGAAATATAAAAATCATCGAAATACAACATGGTCCCTTCTGTAAGGAGATTCTCTTTCGGGCAAGCGCACGCACCCCATAGCAAAAATGTCTCTCAAAAAGTGGATCAGAACAACCAGTGGCCTTCTCACTGGAGCATGAAGGGTGTTCAAGAGGGCAGGTAGTGCTGGGGCCTGAGGGCAGTGGGAAACAGTCCCAAAATGTCCCCTGTATTCTAGGCACCCCTCGGGGCCCCTCTAGGGGAGCTCAGCCATCAGTGTGCTCACTGCACTGTGTCTGAGCTGCAGAGCTCACCTGCCAGGACCCAGGGTCACCACAAGCCAGGCTCTTCTACCCACGAGGGAGCTCATCTCCTCCCTCTCTGCTTAGCTGGGCTGAGTATTCAGGTCAGGGAAGCCCAGAACATGCAACGAGCCCACTCTTATTCAAAACCGGTGACTCTACCCCACGAAGAGTTAGGGAGATAAAAAGAGGCTTAGGGTAGCTCATGGGGGAGCTCATCTCTTCAAGCTCAGGGAGCAGAGAGGAGGCGGCACCATGACCTGGGCTCCTCTCCTCCTCACCTTCCTCACTCAGTACACAGGTGAGGGCTGACCTGACCTGGGGAATGAGGATTCACTCCCTCCTCTGCCCGCACTCTCACTCACAGGGGCTGGATCCGGCTCTCACAGTGCTCTGTGTCCTCTTACAGGGACTGTGGCCCAGGCAAGGCTGACTCAGGTGCCCTCGGTGTCCCAGATCTTGGGACACACGGTCACCCTCACCTGCACTGGGAACAGCAACAATGTTGGTTACGAGGGAGCAGCCTGGCTGCAGCAGCACCCGGGTCTTGTCCCCAAACTCCTGACCCACAGGAATAACAACCGAGCCCTGGGGGTCTCAGAGAGGTTCTCTGGCTCCAGGTCAGGGGACATAGCCTCCCTGACCATCTCTGACCTCCAGCCTGAGGATGAGGCTGATTACTACTGTACTGCCTGGGACAGGAGCGTAGGCGCACACAGTGCTCCAGACCAGAGGGGAAGTGAGACAAAAACCCGTGAGCTCCCCTGGCGTCACTCAGCAGAGAGCCCTCACAGAGCGCTGCGTACACTGGACCCAGACAGAAACAAGGAGTGTCTTTGAAGTTATGATAGAGTGTAATATATTCGATAATATTAAAGACAATATGGGATCAGCAGGTGACATGAAGGTTAAGGTGTTGGATCCCATATGGTCAACACCATGGTTCAAGTCCTGGATCCAGCAGCTTGACAATCTCACCAGGTGGATGTGCGTGTGTGCCCCAAATCCTGAGAGGAGAATGGAGAAGGAATTGTGGTGTGGCCGCCCTTTCAGGGGTTGATTTCTTACTTTCTCTTTCTCTTTCTGGTGAGCACATGCACCTGAGAGTAAACACACACACACACACACCTTTAAAATAATAATGTAAATAAAAATGACGAAACCTGCATTATTAATATACATTAAGAAGCAGCATCAGGACCAGCAGTTAGCATAATGGCTATGTTACTAGACTCCCATATAGTCAACCAAGGTTCGCGTCCCAGACCCGGTGGCTTAAAACTCACGCCGAGCATGTGTATGCGTGTGCCCAAGATCCCGAGAGGAGAATGGAGGAGAAGGGATTGCGGCGTGACCATCCCCCTGGGGAGAGTGTTTTTTCTCTTTCTGTCTCTCTGTCTCTCTCTGTCTGTCTGGGAGCTCACATGCCCTATAGAAAAAAAAAAAAGAAGCAGCATCATTGTGAGTAAATTTACGGCTTTCTAAATATATGAACATACACAGGCATTAGTAATTATTAAAAAGTAATACAAGGTTTAGCTAAGGAATTGTTTGTTTTGTTTTGTTTTGTTTTTAATCTCAGATTTTTCTCTTCTATTCCCTTTGGAATTCTTGACTCAGTGTTCATGGGATCTCTCTGCCTGGCTTGAGAGGCCATACACCAAGGTCACCAGCAAGCAGCCTCCCTTCTTCTCTGGCCTTGACACCTAAGCCGACCTCTGCTTAGAACTCCCTTTCCAATCTCTACCTTGGACATCATGTGACTTGTCCGGCAGATCCACACTTAAATACCGCACGTCATGAGGTTCCTGAGCTCCTCCTCCCTGCACCCCTATCATGCCCCCACAGGACACTCTCCTCCATGTTGTTCTGTTGCACCTGTTCAGTTTCCTTGGAAATACCATACACATTGTCTGGAAAAATGAAGCTTTGGGGTCCAGTGATCAGAAGCTGACATTTGGGGGGGAAATGAATTTTCCATTGAGATAAAAACCCAGGTACCCATCCTGGGGCTCCCAGGACTCGGCCTGGGAACGCCGCAGTGAGCCAAGCTCTCGGGCAGGGCAGGACAGGGCAGGGCAGAGCAGGGCAGGGCAGGTGAGGGGACACCGCACCTTCTCCGGACCTGAGGGGGAACCGCCCACGCACGCAGGCACGCACAGACGCAGGGCCCTCCAGGTCCCGCGCATAAGGCCCGCCCAAGGCCAGGAGGAACCTCCCCCGACTCCTAGGAGGAAGGCGCTGTCCAGGGTAGAGGAGGGAAAACTGCAGAAACTTGACCCTGGCCGCGGGGGAAACCACTCCTCTTCTGGGGAGGGAGAGGGAACTCTGCCCTACCACGAAGGACAGTCCCTGCAGCAGCTACTGTGCCTGGAAGGAGGGGGAGCAGCTGGAAGGTCTAGTACCCCAAGGCAGCCCTCTCAAATCCCTACAGATGCCTTCTCACCGAGGGCCTGTCATCTCCCACCTCCAGCCACAGCCTGGGGAAGCCTCCAGGGACGCCCAGGAAGGGGGGAAGGGGTTGAAATGGGACGTCTATCTTGCTCTGTCTCAAAGAAACCCATTTGTCTCTGTATTTATTCTGTTTCATAAATCAAAATAAAAAATATAAGAATAAAGTTCAAAATTAAGCCAGAATGGAATACTGAATGTTTTTGGTTGCACTTATTGCAAGATTTTTGTTCTAAGAAGGATGGTAAGGGTAAAATATCAGGAGGACATGGGACAGTGGAAAGATTTTTCAAAGACAAAGTTTTACTATTTATTAATATCACTCAGAAAAAATCTTCCCCATTAAAGACGGTGAAAAAAGGAATTTCAATAAAAATGTTCTAAGCACACAAATAAGCAACTCAAAAAGGTAAAGTGTGAGGGAATAAAAGCAACATCAACTCAGCTTCACTTCTACCAGAGGCATAGCAATGGGCATGAAATCTTCAAGGGGAAGTTGGGGAGTGAGCAGGGCATATGTCTCTGGGAGGAGTGGCCCAGCCAAAGTAAACTGTTCGGAGCCTGGGGTAGGAGAAGATGGTAGTGGCCAAGTAACAGGATAATTCCTCTTCTACAGAGCCGAGAGAGATAGGAAGTGTGTCTATAGTCTCAGAGACGGGACCTGAGAGCTGACAAAGGGCACGAAGTAAAAATAAAGGGTGTCCTTGGGTCCCTCTATGATGTTATGAGGAGCATCTAAAAAGGAGATCAGGGACCAGTAGTTGGTGTAAGGGCTCTGTCACTGGACTCCCATGTAGTTAACTGTGGTTCGGGTCCAGTGGCTTAAACTCACACAACAGGCGCATGTGTGTGCATGCCCAAGATCCCCAGAGGAGAAGGGAGAAGGGACTGAAGCATGGCCATCCCCCCAAGGGGTGATTTCTCACTTTGCCTCTCTGTCTCTCTTTCGGGCAAGCGCACGCACCCCATAGCAAAAATGTCTCTCAAAAAGTGGATCAGAACAACCAGTGGCCTTCTCACTGGAGCATGAAGGGTGTTCAAGAGGGCAGGTAGTGCTGGGGCCTGAGGGCAGTGGGAAACAGTCCCAAAATGTCCCCTGTATTCTAGGCACCCCTCGGGGCCCCTCTAGGGGAGCTCAGCCATCAGTGTGCTCACTGCACTGTGTCTGAGCTGCAGAGCTCACCTGCCAGGACCCAGGGTCACCACAAGCCAGGCTCTTCTACCCACGAGGGAGCTCATCTCCTCCCTCTCTGCTTAGCTGGGCTGAGTATTCAGGTCAGGGAAGCCCAGAACATGCAACGAGCCCACTCTTATTCAAAACCGGTGACTCTACCCCACGAAGAGTTAGGGAGATAAAAAGAGGCTTAGGGTAGCTCATGGGGGAGCTCATCTCTTCAAGCTCAGGGAGCAGAGAGGAGGCGGCACCATGACCTGGGCTCCTCTCCTCCTCACCTTCCTCACTCAGTACACAGGTGAGGGCTGACCTGACCTGGGGAATGAGGATTCACTCCCTCCTCTGCCCGCACTCTCACTCACAGGGGCTGGATCCGGCTCTCACAGTGCTCTGTGTCCTCTTACAGGGACTGTGGCCCAGGCAAGGCTGACTCAGGTGCCCTCGGTGTCCCAGATCTTGGGACACACGGTCACCCTCACCTGCACTGGGAACAGCAACAATGTTGGTTACGAGGGAGCAGCCTGGCTGCAGCAGCACCCGGGTCTTGTCCCCAAACTCCTGACCCACAGGAATAACAACCGAGCCCTGGGGGTCTCAGAGAGGTTCTCTGGCTCCAGGTCAGGGGACATAGCCTCCCTGACCATCTCTGACCTCCAGCCTGAGGATGAGGCTGATTACTACTGTACTGCCTGGGACAGGAGCGTAGGCGCACACAGTGCTCCAGACCAGAGGGGAAGTGAGACAAAAACCCGTGAGCTCCCCTGGCGTCACTCAGCAGAGAGCCCTCACAGAGCGCTGCGTACACTGGACCCAGACAGAAACAAGGAGTGTCTTTGAAGTTATGATAGAGTGTAATATATTCGATAATATTAAAGACAATATGGGATCAGCAGGTGACATGAAGGTTAAGGTGTTGGATCCCATATGGTCAACACCATGGTTCAAGTCCTGGATCCAGCAGCTTGACAATCTCACCAGGTGGATGTGCGTGTGTGCCCCAAATCCTGAGAGGAGAATGGAGAAGGAATTGTGGTGTGGCCGCCCTTTCAGGGGTTGATTTCTTACTTTCTCTTTCTCTTTCTGGTGAGCACATGCACCTGAGAGTAAACACACACACACACACACCTTTAAAATAATAATGTAAATAAAAATGACGAAACCTGCATTATTAATATACATTAAGAAGCAGCATCAGGACCAGCAGTTAGCATAATGGCTATGTTACTAGACTCCCATATAGTCAACCAAGGTTCGCGTCCCAGACCCGGTGGCTTAAAACTCACGCCGAGCATGTGTATGCGTGTGCCCAAGATCCCGAGAGGAGAATGGAGGAGAAGGGATTGCGGCGTGACCATCCCCCTGGGGAGAGGGTGATTTCTCTCTTTCTGTCTCTCTGTCTCTCTCTGTCTGTCTGGCGAGCTCACACGCCCTATAGAAAAAAAAAAAGAAGCAGCATCATTGTGAGTAAATTTACGGCTTTCTAAATATATGAACATACACAGGCATTAGTAATTATTAAAAAGTAATACAAGGTTTAGCTAAGGAATTGTTTGTTTTGTTTTGTTTTGTTTTTAATCTCAGATTTTTCTCTTCTATTCCCTTTGGAATTCTTGACTCAGTGTTCATGGGATCTCTCTGCCTGGCTTGAGAGGCCATACACCAAGGTCACCAGCAAGCAGCCTCCCTTCTTCTCTGGCCTTGACACCTAAGCCGACCTCTGCTTAGAACTCCCTTTCCAATCTCTACCTTGGACATCATGTGACTTGTCCGGCAGATCCACACTTAAATACCGCACGTCATGAGGTTCCTGAGCTCCTCCTCCCTGCACCCCTATCATGCCCCCACAGGACACTCTCCTCCATGTTGTTCTGTTGCACCTGTTCAGTTTCCTTGGAAATACCATACACATTGTCTGGAAAAATGAAGCTTTGGGGTCCAGTGATCAGAAGCTGACATTTGGGGGGAAAATGAATTTTCCATTGAGATAAAAACCCAGGTACGATGGCATCACTGTTACCCTGGGGGACATACAGAGATTCCTTCTCGTTTTATTGTCTAGGGTAGTGACAAAAGGAAAAATGTACTGTACACAATGGGCATAGCCCCTGTGCTTAGTGTTGTCACAGTGACTGCAGGAGGTGGGCCCCGGAGCCAGCAGGGGGCGCTGTGACATCTTAGAGAGCAGGGCTGTGCCAGGCAGCTGTAACCACTCAGAGGGCTCCAGGGGAACTAACAAACTATCCTCCCTGGCCTCTGATGGTCTGCAGCTGTGATGCCCCCACCACCATGCCAGCACTGCATCTGGCTCTCCCACTCCACTGCTTTAGATCTGACTCATTTTCTCATTTTCCACTTAGAATCTTTGCCCTAATCTGTTCCAGAAAGACTTCATAGTGAGGACCCAGAATGCAATTCTGCTCTAGGAGAGTCTGGCTGGGGAGGAGACCCAGCTGTGGGGGAGCTCCTCATGGTGGGGCTTCTGGAGACGGAGCTTTGACCATCGATCTATCTCCTCCACACCCTGCAGCCTTTTTTTCTCAGTTCTGCATAGAGGGGACCTTTGCCAGGTACTTAGGGGAAGGGGCTCCTGATGAACCCTGGATCTGCTTCCTAGTCTGGCCCAGAAGGAGTAGGTGTGCTTTGAGAGCAGACTCCCAATCCTCGGTCGCAGAGTACCAGAACCTTGGCCAGCAGGTTACCACTCTCTGCCGTGGATTCTTTAGAAATGTGAAGAATGTTAACTCCATCGGGCACTGACAGCTTCCATATTGAAGTACAATAAGTGTGCTGGCCGTTCCCCCGGCTGTAGCCCGAGCAGAAGGGGGATTATCGCTGTAGACCTGGGATGGCAGCTTCGGAGCATACGCTGTTCTCTTGGATCCAAGGGAAGTGGGACAAGGACACCCCTCTCTGTCCCTTGTTTGATCCTTTGCTCCTCTCCCACCCTCTGTGATCAACGCAGCTCACTGGGGACTTCCAACACATGGCTTTTCCCTGGGAAAAAATATATGATCACACACAGAGCACCCTAAGTCTATGACTCCCCTGGTTTGATTGTTTGTTCACCTACTTTTGGGAGAAGGGAGCAGGAACACGTGCGTCTGCAGCACACAGAATGCGATGGTGTTATACGGGCATGCAAGCACACCCAGGGGCTTCATCCATCAGGACCAGACTCAAGGAGCTCCCAGTTTCAAGGAGTTTGCCAGGGCACTCCTCTGGCTACTGCTGACAGGCAAAGCTTAGAACTCCCTTCATCAGAGAGTCAAGTGGACCGGCACTATGTTCCTCGGGGAGGCTGAATGGGAGCTCAGGCACTGCCCACGCCTTCTCCCTCAGCTCACCCCAGAGTTAAACCCAGATCTACTGATTCTTCCTGGAAGGAATTTGTTCATACATAGAAAGGTTCAGCCTGTGCAGATTCCACCCAAGAGACAGCTTTGTACATCTCCCAGCTCTGGGAACAGAGGGGTACAGGCATCTGGAAGTAACCCTAGATCACAGGAAAATGAGATGATTTTAAATGGCCATGCAAGCATTTTTAGGGGCTGCACCTCCCAAGAACTTTGAAGAGAAGGGACTGGAACACATACCTCCAAGTGTATGCCCTACTATGGTTTGAGTTTTTGTGGCCTTCAAAAATTCATGTTTAGGGGTAACTAGCAGTTAGCGTAATGGCTATGTCACTGGACTCCCACGTAGTCGACAGCGGTTCGAGTCCCGGACCCAGTGGCTTAAAACTCACGCCAGGTGCGTGTACATGCGTGCCCAAGGTCCTAAGAGGAGAATGGAGGAGAAGGCATTGGGGCATGGCCATCCACCTTGGGGGGTGATTTCTCACTTTCTATCTCTCTGTCTCTCTGTCTGGCGAGTGCATGTGCCCTATAGCAAAAACCTCTCCAAAAGGCTTAAAACTCATGCCGGGCACATGTGCGTGCGTGCCCAAGATCCTAAGAGGAGAATGGAGAAGGGATTGCGGCGTGACCATCCCTCCTGGGGGGGTGATTTCTTGCTTTCTGTCTCTATGTCTCTGTCTGTCTGGCGAGCGCACATGCCCTATAGCAAAAACAAAACAAAACAAAACTCTCCAGAACACATACACTGCATTCATCATGTTATATAATGGGGTACGTGGAAGGAGATTGGAAGCATGGTATTTAAACTTGAAGACATGCACATGCCAACTTAAAAGCAAGATAAAACAAAACAGTGTCCTTTCAGACATGGATGAGAAAGCTAATCAAATAAGTGTGTTTAAACATAGAATCTTCTTTATTGTTGGAAATATAAAAAATCATCGAAGTACAACATGGTCCCTTTTGTAAGGAGAACACTCCTTAGCCAGAGAGCTCCTGTATTTAGACTTTCTGGGTGCCCTGGGTCCCTCTATGATATCATGGGGAACATCAAAAAAGTGGATCAGAACAACCAGTGAGTGGCCTTCTCACTATGGCATGCTGTCCCGGCCCACGGGACAATCAGGCAGGGTGCCTGAGTGAGAGAGCGGAGGGCTGGAACCGGCACAGCGTCACGGAGCGACACAGTGTCACAGCTCAAGATGGAATGCAGTCGCTCGTTTATTGGGGGCCAGAGAACATTCTTATATACACAGGGTAGGAAGAGGGGGTGGGAATTGTTACGGACCTGACTGAGGACCTGCCTGAATGAGGAAGTCTCAGCGTAAATTGTCTACTCCTGGAACAAGGATACTTGAAGGTCCTTGTATGAAGGTCATGTCAGCCATTTTGGTGCATGTGGCTTCCTACAGCCTGCTGGTGTGTTCAAGAGGGCAGGTAGTGCTGGGGCCTGAGGGCAGTGGGGAACAGTACCGAAATGCCCCCTATATTCTAGGCACGCCTCGGGGCCCCTCTAGGGGAGCTCAGCCGTCAGTGTGCTCACTGCACTGTGTCTGGGCTGCAGAGCTCAACTGCCAGGACCCAGGGTCACCACAAGCCAGGCTCTCCTACCCACTGAGAGAGCTCATCTCCTCCCTCTCTGCTTAGCTGAGCTGAGTATTCAGGTCAGGGAAGCCCAGAACATCCAACCAGCCCACTCTTATTCAAAATCGGTGACTCCACCCCACGAAGAGTTAGGGAGATATAAAGAGGCTTAGGGTAGCTCAGGGGGGAGCTCATCTTCTCTTCAAGCTCAGCAGAGAGGAGGCTGCACCATGACCTGGGCTCCTCTCCTCCTCACCTTCCTCACTCACTACACAGGTGAGGGCTGACCTGACCTGGGGAATGAGGATCCACTCCCTCCTCTGCCCGCACTCTCACTCACAGGGGCTGGGATCCGGCTCTCACAGTGCTCTGTGTCCTCTTACAGGGACTGTGGCCCAGGCAAGGCTGACTCAGCTGCCCTCGGTGTCCCAGAACTTGAGACACACGGTCACCCTCACCTGCAAGGGGGACAGCAACAATGTTGGTAACCAAGGAGCAGCCTGGCTGCAGCAGCCCCCGGATCAAGTCCCCAAACTCCTGACCCACAGGAATAACAACCGACCCCCGGGGGTCTCAGAGAGGTTCTCTGGCTCCAGGTCAGGGGACACAGCCTCCCTGACCATCTCTGACCTCCAGCCTGAGGATGAGGCTGATTACTACTGTACTGCGTGGGACAGCAGTGAAAACGCACACAGTGCTCTGGACCAGAGAGGAACTGAGACACAAACCCGTGAGCTCCCCTGGCGTCACTCAGCAGAGAGCCCTCACAGAGCACTGTGTACACTGGACCCAGACAGAAACAAGGAGTGTGTTGTAAGTGATTATAGAGTGTAATATTGGATAATATTAAAGACAATATGGGATCAGCAGGTGGCATGAAGGTTAAGGTGCTGGATCCCATATGGTCAACACCATGGTTCAAATCCTAGATCCAGGCCCTTGACAATCTCACCAGGTGGATGTGCGCGTGTGCCTGCCCCAAATCCTGAGAGGAGAATGGAGAAGGAATTGTGGTGTGGCCGCCCTTTCAGGGGTTGATTTCTTACTTTCTCTTTTTCTTTCTGGTGAGCACATGCACCTGAGAGTAAAAAAACACACACACACCTTTAAAATAATAATAATGTAAATGAAAATGATGAACCCTGCATTATTAATATACATTAAGAAGCAGCATCGGGACCAGCAGTTAGCGTAATGGCTATGTCACTAGACTCCCATGTAGTCAACCGAGGTTCGCGTCCCAGACCTGGTGGCTTAAAACTCACACCGAGCATGTGTGTGTGTGTGCCCAAGATCCCGAGAGGAGAATGGAGGAGAAGGGATTGCAGCGTGACCATCCCCCTGGGGGGGTGATTTCTCTCTTGGCACTGGATCCAGCTGTAGCGGAGGTCCCGGGGACCCCAGAGCCTCCATCTTCCCCCTTCCCAGGGGGCCCCCACATGGGCTTCTGTAGGAAGAGGGGAAGGGACCCCCACAGAAACTGCAGGAGTAGAGACAAGTGTTGGGTCTTGGGTTTGGCTGTCCATCCCTGGTATGGAGCAGGGAGCAGGGACCCTAGGTAACAGGCCAGACCTGTCCCTGTCTGATGGTGGGCAAGGGGCAAGGGCCACATGGTGGATGGGTCTTTGGGCAGGGATTGTGGAGGGCAGCCTGGAAGGGGCCTCAGGAGGAGCAGGTTGGTCCTGCAGGGATGTGCTCCCCTGACCCAGGGTGCACAGAGTGGGCCACTGTAGTGACTCCCAGGAGGGACTCTGGGCCCTGTGAGTCTTGCTCCTTCTGGTCCCCTCCAGCTGGGCACTGTGGCTGGGGGCTGGAAGGGCAGCAGGTGGGTACCCAAGACTGGAAGGCTGGGAGCTACTGCAGGTCCCATTGGCCTCAGCCTTACCAGTCAATGTTTTGAGAATTCTCTGGAAGGCTGCTCTCTTCTCCTGGTCCAGGTCTCCTGCAGTGACCTGAAAACCCAGGTCAGTGGGTGGTGGCAGCACCAGAGGGTCCCCTCCCCTGCTTGGCAGGAGAGGAAACTTTCAATTAGGGAAATGGAACTGTTGTGTGTGGGTGAGCAGTTCTGGGGTGACCCTGCCCAACCCCTGGGCACAGCTGCCGCCTTTATGACTGGGCTCTTCCTCTGAGAAATCTCAGAGGATGCCGAGGGTGACTGGGACCCCTCCTCACTCTCTTTCTTAGGGGAGTTGAGGGACACCCTAGACTGGGGTGTGGCCAGCCCCCTCCTCCTCTTGGCTGGGGGGGGCCCCTGACTGGAGCTGTAGGAGCTCATGATGGGATTTCTTACGGAGCAGGACATGAGGCCAGAGCCCGGGGCCTCCCTCCTGGCCCTCTCACCTGAACTCTGGGCAGGGACCTTTCTCTGCAGAGGCCCAGGCTGAGGAATGAAGGAGCAGAGACCTTCAGTGACCCCCAGAGGCCTAAATGCTGACTGTACCTGCCCAGCCCCATGGGGGCCCCTTCTAAGGTCATCGGGGTACGGTGGCACTGAGGGGTCTCCCTCCCCCTCAGCCTCCCCTTGCCTGCTCTCTCCAAGGCCCCTCAATGAGACGCTGGTGGAGGAGTCTCGGGCAGCCCTGGGTGTTGCAGGCTGCAAAGGCGTGACTCTGTGCCCCTGGGCCAAGCAGAGAGCCCTGCAGAAGGCCTTGAAGTTGGGAGCTGAGAGCCCAGGCCTCCTCTGACGCCCCTGCCTGCACCCTGAGCTCAGGCCCCTCAGACAGGAGCCCAGGGTCCACAGGATCCTGGAACACCCTCTCCCCGCTGCTGTGTGGAACCGCCTGTGCAGTCTCACTGGCCACCTGGGGGATGGCCTATAAATGGGTCTAGGGGCATAGACAGCGGGGTGACCCCGGCCAGCCACAGGCACAGGGCGGGAGTTGTCCGTGGGCTCCAGGCGGCTGAGTCCCCCCAGCAAGTTCCTCTTTCCCAGGGACGGGGGCAGGGCTGAGGGGCAGAGCTTCCCCTGGTAACTTCCCATGGGAACAGCTGGGTGAATTCAATACTGGATCTGCGATCGGACCGGAACGCTCTTCTTGGGCTGCCACAACTGCCAGAGTGGCCACAAGTTCTTTGGGTCAGTCGCTGGGACCATTTTTGAAGAGAGGAAAGAATGGGAGTGTGTGCACAGAACGTGCAGAGGAGGGTCCAGACAGAATTTGCAAATGAGGGCATGCATCTCTGCTTTGAGAAGAAAGGGTTCCCTTGAGGCTTGCAATCATAAGGGCGCTCTGGAGGCTGTGGACCAAGAGCTACCGCCAGGACTATGCAGGGTGACAGGTGCCCGAGCAAAAGACTCAGGACTCACTGCGGAGCGAAGGTTCTAGATTCACCCACTGAATCTTCTTGCAATTAGGAATGTCCTGCTGTGAGCTGGAGGGGTTTCTCTAGAGTGTGATGAGCTCAGGGTTGGGCAAGGATACTTCCTCTGAGGCAGGGTCCCAGAACTCTAGGAGCACTGCCAGGGACAGAGGTCGCAGCCCAGCAGATGGGGGACTTCTGCAGAGCAGGTTCCTGGCTCAGGAGTTCCTTCCCCAGGTGCCCAGTGGTTTTAAAAATAATTATTTTATTTATTTATTTATTTAAATTTACCAGAGAGGGACAGAGTAAGAGAGAGAGAGAGAGGGAAAGTGAGAAAGCAACCTGTCAGGTCTGGGACTTGAACCACACTGGTCCATGTGGGAGTCCAGTGCCTTTAATCACCAAGCCCCTGCTGGCCCCACCTGCTTTGAGGCCAGGCCAGTGTGTCCTCCTGCCCTCCTATGAGATTGCTGAGGGGAGCAGCTAGAACAGAAGGCCCAGCCCCGCAGATCCTGCTCAAGTGGCAGCTGCAGAGTGCTGGGAATGCTGGGAGGGACTTGTCACCAGATGACCCCCAACCCCGCTCCCAGACAGTTCACCAAAGAAGCTGGGTCCTCCCAGAACCCCGAGATGACCCCCAACCCCGCTCCCAGACAGTTCCCCAGAGAAATTGGGTCCTCCCAGAACCCCTTGTGAGTGTCCCAGCTGCTCTCTGCTGAGCTCCGGGATCCCTCCCCAGAAGGAGTTACTCCTCCCCCATGTCAGTGGTGCTGAGGTTGAGAGACTCCACTTTAGACAGCTGTAAGGTCTGTTGAGAAGGATGGGGGGTCCTGGGGGGGTCTTTTAACCAAACAATAAGGGGTTCACACCTACCCACATGGGATGGAGCCAAGATCCAATTGCTGACCAAGGAATTGAAGTATCTCCTTTTTAGGTTAAGAAAGAAGTTTCCTCTTTTTTTCTTCTTCTTCTCCTTCTTCTTCTTCTTTCTTCTTCTTCTTCTTCTTCTTCTTCTTCTTCCTCTTCTTCTTCTTCTTCTTCTTCTTCTTCTTCCTCTTCTTCTTCTTCTTCTTCTTCTTCTTCTTCCTCTTCTTCTTCTTCTTCTTCTTCTTCTTCTTCCTCTTCTTCTTCTTCTTCTTCTTCTTCTTCTTCCTCTTCTTCTTCTTCTTCTTCTTCTTCTTCTTCCTCTTCTTCTTCTTCTTCTTCTTCTTCTTCTTCCTCTTCTTCTTCTTCTTCTTCTTCTTCTTCTTCCTCTTCTTCTTCTTCTTCTTCTTCTTCTTCTTTTCAAATTTGCATTTCTCTTTTATAACCTACACGGATAACAAGGTCCTGGCACAGTAATCAAAAATAAATTCTTGGGATTTATGACCATAAAAACAAGATAAATCTCACACATTTCCTCAAGAAGAAACTAACTTGGTAATGTTATCCCAAAGATAATGTAAGGACATGTTCAATGAATCATATCCTTATTTCAGAAAAATGACCAAAAAATGCATCATACGACCCAGAAAGCTCACTCTTACACATAACCCAAAGTAATCAGAAACCCATATTTGAACAAAACATGTAGTCACATGTTCCTAACAACACCCTTGCCAACGCAGGTAACCAGATCAAATGCCCATCGATAAGTTGGGGTATTAACATGATGTGATGTGTCCACCCGGCAGGGTATTACTCATCCATACAGCAGTTATGATGGGGGTATGTGTTAGAAAATTCTGGTATGTGTGAGAAAGTGAACCCAAACATAAAACGTCACATAGTGGGCTGGCAGGAGGCAAGGTGGTTAGGGGCACTGACTCCCACATGGCTGACTGCATTTTGAGTCCTGGACCTGGTGGCTTGCTTTCTCACTTTGCCTCTATCTCTCTCTCTGTCTCTGTCTGATCAAATTAAAATAATAATAATAATGATAAAGTTAACTTCATAATAACTAAAAATAATTATTTTCTAAAAGTCACATAGTTTATAGAAACACAAAACTCTAGTGGTTCCCAGGGTAGAGGAGTGTGGAAGGAGTGACCGCTTAACGGTGTGGGGTCTCCTTTGGGCCAGCGACAGTGTTTGGAGCTAGGTAGACACGGGGTTTCACAACATGGTGGACACCAAATGCCACTAAGTCCTATACTCTAAATGGTCTTTTCACATTATGTAAATTGCAACTTATTAACAAAATAAAACAGCCAGTGGGCCAGATTTGCCTCTACAGCCTGCAGAGGGGGCTCCTGGGCAGTGAAGAAGTCCCGCCTATCTGAGGAGGGGGCAGAGGTCTAGTGGGTGAGCAGACCAGCTCTCTCTCCCTGGCCCTCTGCTGTGCATCCCAGACCTGGGGGACTCTGGCCCTCGGACGGCAGGGGGCGCTGAGGCCTCATTCAAGAGCGAGCCATACTGAGAAGACAGGTCACAAGTGTATTTGTCAAAATTTTATTTCAATCTTGAAAATAAATAAAATTCCATAGACATTTCATAAAAATTTCATGTTTTTTTTTTGGCTGTAAACATAAAATATCCATTGCCTATATGTACAAAACAAAAAAAATTCAAAACAGTTGCAAGTCAAAATGAACATGACTTAAAGATCATTTCAACTTGGTCGTGAGTCTAAATGAAAAATTAAAATGCACTATAGATTCTCTTTCACATAGACACATAGGCCAATTTTAAATAGGTGACTAATTTATATGATGTAAATCTGTTAAAATTTTAATGCATTTAAACTCTCAAGGGGCAGAATCCCATGGTCACACGCTTTCTAATACAGAGGCCATACTGAAGGCCCACTGGTTTTCTCTAAGCCCTTTTAACTCCACACAGAAACTAGGGTAGCGGTGAGGGGCAGAGACTTGCACTGTGGCAAACAGCGTTCTTCATTTTGACAGTTTTCGTAGATCAGATTTTTTAAACTTGATAATTTTGACAAAATAATTCATATACATGAACTTTCAGATCAGAAATTAATTCTTTGTTCTCATTTTTAAACAGACCGATAATCAGATACCTTTAAGAAGAATGACATTGTCTCCTTCACCCCCAGTTTGGTTGGTCCTCTCAGCCCCCACAGAGCAGTCTCACCTGGGCCTTGGTGACTGACAGGGCAGGGGGAGGCAGGGCTGTCTCTCAGGGAGTTAGGTCACCAGGTCACAGGATGCTGTGTCAGTGCTGGGACACCAGGGGCCACCCAGGTCCAGTTCATGAGAGATGTAGGGGGGATCAGAACTGAGAAACCCTTCCACCCACCTGGCTCTGCCTGCTACCCTCTGCTCAGGGCTCACAGCTGGGACCTCCCACACTTGGGCCCACACAGCCCCACCCCTGCTGCCCCTGCCATTCTCAGGCAGAGAGGCTTGACTCAGAGCCAGGTGGGCCCTGAAAGCTGGAGGTGGGGGTCATTTGCATGAATGCCCCCTCCCCCTCTCAGAGCATGAAGAGGGGAAGGGAGAGACTGGGGGAGCTCTGCTTCAGCTGTGGGCCCAGAAGGCGAGACTTCAGGATCCCCTCCACCATGGCCTGGTCCCCTCTCCTGCTCACCCTCCTGGCTCACTGCACAGGTGACTAGATACGGGGCCAGGGGAAGGGCCTGGGGACACCATGGGCCCTGCTTTCTCTTCTTGTCTCTACGCCCAGAATCACCCTCTCTGTGTCTCTCCCACCTCCAGGATCCTGGGCCCAGACTGTGCTGACTCAGCCATCCTCAGTGTCTGGGGCCCTGAGTGAGAGGGTCACCATCTCCTGCAGGGGAGGCAGCAGCAACATCGGTAGATATGATGTGCACTGGTACCAACAGTTTGCAGGGACGTCCCCCAGACTCCTCATCTATGATAGCAGCAATCGGCCCTCAGGGATCGAAGATCGATTCTCTGGCTCCAAGTCTGGAACCTCGGCCTCCCTGACCATCTCAGATCTCCAGGCTGGGGATGAGGGTATCTATTTCTGTCACTCCTATGACAACAGCCTCAATACTCACACAGTGCTCCAGGCCAGGGGGGAAGTGCGACAAGAACCCTCTGTCTGCAGCCCTGGGGCTTCTCTGCTCAGCACCCACTGGGGCCAAGTCAGCTGTTCCTTTGTTTGTTTGGTCTAAAATCTGGGTCTGAGCTCCTGTCCAGGCCCCTCTGTGCAGAGAACCTGTCCTCGCCCTCTCTGATCCTGCCCCCACGTCTGGTCTTTGGCAATGACACATTGTGCATTTTCTTGAATTTATCAGACAGTCCAGGGGGCAGGGGCGGGTGGGCCTGAGCTGAGCCCAGGGGCACATGAGTCTCTGAGGCCCCCACAGCACAGGCCCCAGGCTGGGCGGTCCCCAACATCTTTATCCCCTCTCAGGTCCAGAGGCTGGAGGGCCTATCCACTTGTCCGCAGGCTGGGTCCTTCTAGTCTTTTCTTCATGGCCTGCAGGTCACCATCTCGGGCTGTGTCCCCACATAGTGACCCCCTGGACATTGTGTAGTTTGTTTCTAGATTTTTTGTAATGACACCCATCCTCGGTAATTAGGACCCCACCACTAGGACCTCAGTAACCCTAATGACCCCCACAGAGGCACAACTTCCAAATACAGACACACTGGGGGCTAGGCTCTAAACACGTGAATGTGGGAGCCCACGGTCAGTCCTAACCGGGACCAGGGGAGAACGAGGATGCAGAGCACTGGTGGGTCTGACCCGGGAGAGCCGACTGGAGGGCCTCTGTCCACACCATGTACTCAGCTTCTACTGTGCGCCCGGCTCCAGAGTTGGCCGCGGGGCTCAGGACACAGTGGGGACAAGGCAGGAAGGGCCCCTTCCTCAGGGAGCTGTCATCATCTGAAGGAACACAGGGGACATAAATAACAATAGTAATAAGAATAACACGTGTTTCGGGAGAGTGGAAATGGAGAGTGTGGGGGGCGGGGAGGTCCACCTTGGAGGGTTCTCTAATACCGGGACAGGAAGAGCACTTGATCTCCCCACATCCACTCAGCTCAGGGCCGGAGGGTCTAACAGAGCAATCAGGTCACACAGAAATAAAAGGAAGAGGAATTAGAAATAATGGAATAGGAGGACCTCTGCTTTCCCAGCCCGTGACCTTCTAGAGAGAAAAACCTTTAAACATTCCACCAAGTAGTATAAGAGCTATGAAATACACTTAGCAGGTTCAAAATATAAAGTAAACACACAAACATATGTCGATTTGGGATAACTACCCACAAATAAAATGAATGAAATCATGTACTTTATACCATTAAAATAATAAAATGCTAGGAAATAAACTAAATTGAGGACATGGTCAACTTGTACAATTTAAACTACTGACATAGCCATGCGCCAGCCCTGTGACCTGGTGGTTAAGAGATCCCGGTCCTACATGGCTGACTGCGATTCCCACCTCAGTTCGAAACCCAGCCCTAGGAGCTTGAAAAGATGCCAAATGTGTGCATGTGAGCCCGAAATCCTGACCAGACGAGGAATGCAAGGAAAAAGTTAGCGGTGTGACCTCGCCCCGCCAGGGATGCGTTCACTCTTTCTCTGGTGAGCACACCTGCCTCAGGCAGTAAAGAAGGAAAATAAATAGCATTGAAACAATGAAGCAGAGTGGTGCTGACAGGTCCACAGACGTATGTGTGGGAAAGTGGAGTGGAACAGAGAGCCCAGGGATCACCCCTGGGTTGACAAACACGGCCGTGCTGTCTTCCACACGCAGGCCACGACCGTCAATGGGGAAGGACTGTTTTTCAACAAACGCTGTTGTGGGAACTGGACATTCACTTGCTGATGCAAAACAGAGCCACGACCGACATAGAGGAGCTGAAGCTGTAAAACCTTGGCAGAAAACCTTAGCGGGAAACAGCCCAACAATGGATGTGGAAAGAATGACTTGGATATGATGAAAAGTACGAGCAGATAAATAAAGAAGTAATTTAATGAGAGAAGTGAAAGAGGTGGGACTGAATGAATGGAGGAAGGGAGGGAAGGCCAGACAGAAGGAGGGAACATACGTGACGTGGTTGAAGGCCCAGGATGGCGTGTATATTCTATAATAATATTTTATATACTTCAGACTAGCTACAAGCTGACATTCTCGATGTTCTCCTCCCCCCACCCCCCAAAGAAGTAGCACTTGGTCACCCTCCCTGCAGGGCACACAGGAGCACCATGGACTGGGGACTGGAGCTGCCTGGGACACCGGGTTTAGTCCCTGCAAACCTGATCATGCCAGGCCCTCGGCACACACTTGCATCCTGGCTAAGTAGGAGCTGGGGAGGAGGCTGCCACACCAAGACCTGCCACAAATACCTCTGTCTGTCTCTGTTCCTTTCCCTTAATGTCATTGTCTCCCTCACTCTCATAAATGAAAAAGTATTATGAAGAAAGACATATTAAATATCTAAGTTGACAGTTATGTTAAACACTTGACAATTATTTAATGCACACAAGTGTTGAAGCATCACACTGCATCACAAAAGCAAGCATAATTTAATCCAAGAGAAAAAAGGAGCTAGGCCTGGGGCTGGCCTTGTGCTTTCCCATGGGAACCCAGCAGCTGTGTCCTCCCTGACTGGCAGAGTCCCCTAAGCAAGGCCTTCTGTGCGGTCTCCAGGGATCCCCAAGGGGTGAAGCCAACCTCCCTCCCCCTCAGTCTGCAGTGTGAACTGAGCCCCAGTCCAGGGCTCAGGGAGGGGCTGGGCAGTCACTGGATGGACACACATTTGCATGAAGAGCCCCTCCTTATTTACAGAGTAGGAAGAAAAGGGGGCCTGGGGCAGCCCAGCCATGTGGAGACCAGAAGCTTTGTCCACCATGGCCTGGATTCCTCTCTTTCTTGTGTTCCTCTCTCACTGCACAGGTAGGGACAGGCCTTGAGGTCACAGGGAGTCTCCCAGCCACATTCGGTGTCCCGGCTGAGAGCCCTGAGAGTCATCATCCTCATATCTGGCTCATCATCCAGACGTGTCTGTGTCTGCAGGTTCCCTGTCCCAGCCTGTGCTGACCCAGCCGCCCTCCCTCTCTGCCTTACAGGATATACTGGTACCAGCAGAAGCCAGGGAGCCGTCCTCGCTATCTCCTGAACTACCACACAGAATCAAACAAGCACCAGGGCTCTGGGGTCCCCAGCCGCTTCTCTGGATCCAAGGACACCTCGGCCAATGCAGGAGTTCTGCACATCTCCGGGCTGCAGCCTGAGGACGAGGCCGACTATTACTGCAATACATGGCACAGCAGCCCCGGCACTCACACAGTGCTCCCCACCCACAGGAAAATGAGACAAAAACCCTTTCCTTAGTTCTTCCTGTCTGGTGCAGTTGGACCAAATAAGAGAAGTTAAAGAAACTGTCCATAGGGAACCAGCAGTTAGCGTAATGGCTATATCGCTAGACTCCCATGTAGTCGACCGCAGTTTGCATCCTGGACCAGGTGGCTTGAAAAACACGCCAGGCACCTGTGCGTGCGTGCCCAAGATCCCGAGAGGAGAATGGAGGAGAAGGGATTGCGGCGTGGCCATCCCCTCTGGGGGGTGATTTCTCGCTTTCTGTCTCTATGTCTCTGTCTGTCTGGTGAGCGCATGCGCCCTATAGCGAAAACCTCTCAAAAAAAAAAAAAAAAAAAAAAAAAGAAACTATCCATAAATGAATACATAGTTTTATCCCCTGGTTCCAAACCTGCGATGAGTGAAGATGGTCTGATAGAGTCACTTGAGGCCTTTGAATAAAGCACGCTTGAATGGATGGGGAGGTGGAAATCTCAGCAAAGCCTCAGAAACTGCACATAAAGACATCAATGCCGCAGTAGCCCTGCTGACCCTGCTGGGGTTCCCATGACCTGACTGTCTGAGGGAGGAGGGAAGGAAGTCGGGGCTGAGGCCCAGAAACAGGTGTCTGTCCCGGTGATGAAGGTGAGCTCGGAGAGGAGAGCAGTGGGCAGGGAGGAGGCGCAGACCTGGTGCAGAGACTGCTGCTCTGGGCTGATGGCCGAGGGTGGAGGCAGCCTGGGGTGGGTGTTGCTGACGCAGGGACAGTGCTGTCACCTGTGTGTGCACCTGGGCAGATGCGTCTCTGATCATCCCTCACTCGGTGAAGGATCTGTGACCTGTGACCTATGACAGGAGCATCAGGAGCCAGAAGGCCCTTTACAGATGACAGTATCCTAAGAGGCCAGGGTCCCTGACTCCACTTCTCAGTCTTCAGAATGGAGCCCACATTTTACCTGGGAATTCTGTCACATCTACCGTAGATGGAACAGAAAATGATGAACATGTGTGACACAGACATTTTTAAAAAGATTTTTATGTCCCAATTACCTATCCAGAAGATAGAGAATGCACTGAGAAATCATTCAAATGATAAAGAAATGGTTTGCATTCACAACGAACTAATTTTATTCTTTCTGATGTAGTTTACAAGGCAGTTCGAAATGTTTCTAATTCTAGCTGTATAAAAACTCCTAACATATCTGTAAGAACGTCATTACAACAGCCAGCAAATAATGCAAAGAGAATTTGATTCCCTGGGCAAGTGCCACCTCCCCTGAGGACAGCAGGAGATGATGAGTGATGTCAGCAGAGGGGACAGTGCAGGACCCTCAGGGGTCACAGAAGGGCCTGGAAATGACAAAGGCCACTTCTTTGTCCCTACACAGGCATGACGGAGAGGGTCACAGTGAGAAGATGGTGGGTGTGACGACCAGGCCCTCAGTAGATGCCCATCTGCTGGTGTGTTGACTTCACCTTCTACAACTCCAGAACTCTGGGGAAGGCATTTCTGTTCTTTACCCAAACTATAATGGTTTATTATTTATTTATTTGTTTTTTTTATTCCATGATAAAGAGACAGAAATGGAGACTGACAGAAAAAGACACAGGCACCCACAGGATGGTCTTTCCGCAGTGACTGACTCCGGGCTCATCCAGCCTGGATCCCGGGAATATGTTCGTGTCCCTGGAGTGCACGCAGAGGCCACGGGATGTGGACCCCTGACCCTCCCATGTGAAGACGGGCAGTACTTTATTTTTTGTAAGTTTGTTTATTTATTTATTTATTTATTTATTTATTTATTTTTTGCTATAAGGCACATGTGCTTGCTGAAAAGACAGAGAGACAGAGAAACAGAAAGCAAGAAATCATCCCCCAGTGGGAGATGGCCACGCCGCAATCCCTTCTCCTCCATTCTCCTCTCAGAATCTTTGGCATGCATGAACACACACCTGGTTTGCGTTTAAGCCGCCAGGTCTGGGACTTGAACTGCGGTCCACTATGTGAGAGCCCAGTGAGGTAACCATTACGCCATCTGTTGGCCCCTAGGAAGGCACTTCTGATAGATGCAGGTTTTATGTTTCCTGTGTTATGATTGGCTCTTGGTATTTTCCCCTTTGAAACCACAAGTCCCTGGGGAACACAGAATTT